GCAAGTGAGATGCTAACTATGAGTATATAGCAAGTACTTAGCTCCTGACAAGTCATTGGCTCCAGAATCAACGCAAGCCCGTGCAGAGTACACACCTGGTGAATGTGCACATTTATATGTGCCAAATTAATCACTCAGTACAGATCCTGCATTGGACTTTAGTCCTTTCATTCATTTGCAACATTATAATCAAAAGGATCATTATTTTTATTCACTATAATTTGGACAGGAAAAAGAAATTAGGAATATTTGCTATAAAAAGCAACTTGTGATCACACTGATCAATCTGGTTCACTAATTCCCCTTCATAATGTAAAAACATTAAAATCTGTATTCTCAAATAAAAAAAAACTTTAAGAAAGACAAAAGAAAACTCGCTAAAACTATGCCTATCCTTCAAAATAGCTGCTGAGGAGACAGATGCTATCATCTGCTAAGAATAATAAAATTGACTGAATAGAGGCAGACCTCAGCTTAATCCAAGAGACAAAGAATTAAAGTGCTGAAGAACAAATACTGCCTCACCCAATCTGAACAGTACCTGTAATAGCCTCTCCATCTCAATGGGAAATGCAGCACACTGCTGGTAGGAACACAGGGCCTCTCCCGATTCATTCTCCAGTCCAGAGAAAGGGGTTCAAATTATGCTGAAGTAAGCATTTTTGTAATATTTTGTTCATGTAAAATAAGCAAGTTTGGTAAATGCAACTCAGATATTCAGAGTCTAAACATAAGCAAGACAGTTTGGGATGTAAAAAGAGAATGCAATGCCTGCTTAGGCTAGGGTACCTTATGTGTAGAACCACTACCATCTTATCAGTCCAAAGCACTGAAGATTTCCCCTTTTAGCAGGGAAAGCTTACAAAACATTTGAGCTATTGCTAAGTGGTGTTTCTTCATTACAAGGACTGGATACTGCTTTAGGACAAAGTATTTTTCTCGCTACATCATGAAGTCTAAAACCAGAGGTTATAAATGTAGTATCAGCATCTGAAAGCTGGCTAGCCAGCAGCCCTCTTCAGTTTGCCAACAGTAATTAGTTTATCTAGTTTACCTTCTTCACAAGCTACTTAACTTTTCTTCCTTACATATTCAATTCCACTATACCAAGGATATGCTTCCTAATTTTACAAACATATTTCTGAAGACTAGGAAAGAGTTAATTAACTAGTAAATAACAGAAAATTTCTAAAAACGTTTTTTGAAAAAGACATTATGGCAAAGAACCATGGTAGAATTCTGAAATCACCAATGCAAACAGCTAGTCCAGGCACTGATAACTATGCAGAACTACTCACTGCTATCCCTTTCACCACCCTTCTACCTCTTTCTTCCTGAAAAGCATAGGAAAAGTCCAAGTGGCACTGAAGTATAACTTGGGTGGAGTAAGCTGCAGAAGGACCAATTTGCTACACTTGGAACATCTCCTTGTTTATCATGATACTCCTACTTACGTCTCCTCCAGATGAAGAGATAAGTAGCTTAACAGTGCAAGGCTGCTTCTTCTGGCACATTTGTGGAGCCTAAGAGATATCAGGAGTAAGAAATACTGTTTGCCAAATGAAGCAGGAAATGTGATTTACTTTCAGGTTCCCCTGCCAAGGCCTTTTTCTCAATATCAGCTGAATTTATCCCAAGCACTGGTGTGCACATCTGCAGTTGGATACGCCATTTATCTCTTCCAATAAAAGAAGCCCAGGAAGGTTTTCACCTCTTTATTGATTTATAGATTTAGACCTAAGTTTGAAGTCTTGCTCAGTTTATTTTCTGCCTGTCCCCAAGTTTGGGTCACAAACCTGAGAATGTTTCTGTGCTTACCTGTCAGAAATCTGACATCTGTGTAAAAAAGAGTATTTATACACATGTAATGGGCATCCCTAATAGAAGTGATTTTATTAGCAAAGCCACTATTCTTCTAGAAATTCAGTTTCACTTAACACCTGTAAAATCCCCATTACGTATCTGGCCAGAGCTCCTTCATCCAAAGCACAGTATCTTCTTAATTCACTGCTTGATTTGAAACTTAGTATCTCAAGTGTCAGAAGTCCCTGCCCACTCTATGTAATTTATATTTGCAATCCATTCCGTCTTGCTTCTCACCTAGCATCCTGCCCTTCAGGAAGTAGGACGTAACCTTCAGGCACATTCACCCAACTTCTACCCAACCTGTTTCTTGAAACTTGCAAGTTATGATCTCCACATGTTCCTAAACACTCACATATTTCTTTCAAATAAACCAGAACGTGGATGTTTTTACAAATACAGTCAGTCCTTTCCCTGCTTAAGTTTTTACCTCCCCTAAAAACCATTCACAATGTTAGTTCTGCAAATAAATAAGCTTGTTTTAAAACATCATTTCTCACCTATGACTCTGAATGTTACTTTACCAAGGAGGAATAGGTATTTATCTCATGTAATGAATGATAGAAATAAATACATTTAATCCATAGAAAGCTCAGTAAAAACTCCTACAAATGACTGTGGAAACATTGTTTACTAATTTCACTGGTGGGGGATCATCCTTTGGTACCTTATAATTTTTACATGAGGAAAAGTTACACAAAGAACATCATCTTTTCTGGTTCTTCACAAAAACAAACCACTCCAGAAACATTGAGAATAGCATTTTACATGTTACGTTATTGGGTAACAACTCCACTTTTGTAATAGCCTACCCAAGCCTCAAATGGTTTGGTTAACAAGTCTTTGTTAATTACTGTTAATTACCTTTCTCTATTAAAAAAAAAGTGCAACAAACTGTCTTTCAAAAAGTACATAGAAATTAAAATAGCATGAGTATTATATCAGCAGCTTTTGTTTTTCTGTTTTGGATTAGAAAAAGTGTCTCCCTCAGTCTAGCAGACAAAGTTTGTAATGGTTGACAAGTTAAGCTGCGCACATTCACTTTAGAGTCTTTTACAAAGTACTGAAGACAGCAATTAACTGCTGGAATAACTTACTATGGATGGTAATGGCTATCTCCATCATCAGAAATTTTCAGCTAAAGCTGCTGGTTATTAAGTAGTCATTACATTAATTTAATTTCTGGGGTTGTCCTTAGGAGTAAATTAAAATAGATTATCTAAATTTATTTATCCCCAGACTGGGATATAAATCTCCAGAGTTTACCACTCTCCTTTATAGGCCAGTAAAGCTATACTTGTATTAATTTATCTTAGATACTGAAAGCTTTTACCAAACCGACTTAAAAAAGCATGTCCCATTTTCATCACTGTAGAATGAGGTCACTGAAAGCATGTATGAAACTGTAACAGTTTTACTGGGGGAGGAAAACAGTTCAGACAAAGCATCCCTTCTGAAATTTTTCAAATAATTTTATTAAACAATCATGATTTACATGTCATCAGACCTAACCCCTGAAGTGCAAAATTGTTTCTGAGGTATTAAGACTGGAGGAAAACAGGCACAGTGTTGGTTGTTAGGGATACCACACTACAGCACAGTGGACTCTGCAAACAACAGGCCTTTATACAGCATTTGCAGGATCAGAGAAAACTGAGAACAAGTCTGCATTTGTCTTTAGTCTTGAGAGCCAAAAAGCCCTGATCATTAGCCAGTTGCTTCACATCAATGAAAACATAGACGTGGTTAGCACAGGATGATGATAAATATCAGCGAGGTGTTCCTAGGCCAATATGTACAGTACATAAAAATGAAATTTAATTGCTGTATGTGTGACCAAAATCCCAACTGTCTATCCAGTCCAGCTTAATATATGTTGTGTCTACAGTGGCCTCTCTAGTACTGGCATTTTTGTCTATACTCTACACAGCTATGCCACTGTTCTGTGCTCCTGTTTGAGGGCACCTGGTCACTCACACTCACTTCAAGTAAGTCTACTGTTTATCAGATTAACTAGAGTCAGCAGTACAGTACTGACTCTGGCCTCTTATCCTTCTAGTTGCTCTCTGCCCCTCATCCATGTAGTGAAGAAGCCTAGTACTTGTGTGGAAAATTTGCTAAAGAAATAAGCATTGATTTAAAACTTTTCATGGAGAACAGAAAGCCTTAACTGAGAACTGCAAAACAAGCCCTTACCAATTAAGATGCTAACAAGAATTTTTGCTCAACTGCCAAATTATGCTTCAGAAATAATTTTGTATGAGGAGAGTTTGGGCATTAGTTCTTTGTGTTAGTTTGCCTGTCCAAGCAGTCATGGGGGGAAGAAATACTTTTACCCCTGGAGCAGTTTCCAGGGTTAGAATTTGATGGAAGATGTGGTAATTCTGTGGAGAATTAACTTTCTGCTGAAAATTAGTTAGCTTTAAAGCTCTCACTGATGTTCACTCAATGATTTCACTGAAAAAAGTTTTTTTCACCTCAAGCCCTGCAGTATTGTTCTCTGGGACCAACTGCAGTTTACTCTGAACTACGTGACTGAAAGATACTCAGCCAAATTATGTCTTTCACATGGTATCACCAAAATTCAATGGAAGATAAATCTAAGAAAACATTCCTAAATTAATAAGGTCCCTCATTCTAAGTATCTCTGGGGCTATTTTTAGCCAAGACAGGTGAAAACAAGTTCCTCCTGAGACACAATTATTTTTTTCAAATTTGTGAGAAATAACACAACAAAATAGAAGTGATCTTTATCTTAGTAGGTGTTTATGAAGTTATGCAAGTTTCTGAATGTGTCAGGTTTTATGTAAGAATGGCATACTTGGAAAGGTTCTCACCTTCAGCTTTGAGACCTTACTGGGAAGCTGGAGACATAAGCTCTATTTTCAGCACATCCATGGGCATAACGTTGTACAATCTGATCACAAACACAATTGAGATTCTCATAATTTTCTAGGATTGTTACCAACATCACTGCTGCTTACCTACACAACAACATCTAGCAAATCTACAAATACAGAGTAGCTGGAATAGAAGCTGGATACAGCTGGAGTGTTGCCTTAATATTATTTTTAATGGAATCATTTCATGGATGAGAAAGGCAACCCCAAAGAAAAAGTGCAATCAAATCATCACTTTCAGTTGAAAACTGGGTTTCGGATGCCACTCAAGACTGAACTGTTGGGCCACTTTCTGTGCAGAAGAGTTAGGGAGCATACAAAAAAGAAAATGCTTGTGATTCCTAGGAACACAATGCCTGCAATCAGTGCACTGGTGACTGAGTTCAGCTGGAAAGGAGGTCCATTTAGATGACCTGCAAGAAAAACAAAAGTGCACAGGTAAGATTTGGTTACAATCTCTCAGCAGTGCCAAACATTTGTATTTCCATTACAACACCCTATATATGGAACAATTACAATGAATGGACTAAAACCATACATCAAAATGTCTACTTGGATAAAGCTTATCTAAGTATGCTTTGAAAATAGTTATTCGTTCTTTCAATATCCATCATACTTACGGCAGCAAGGATATTTCTAAGGCATAATCCCTTACATGCTAGTGACCAACCATGATCTTTGCTGTTTAAGGCAAGATTATCATTGATCAAGAACTACCAAGGCAGAGGTATAAGAATTTGAGTCCTAATCAAGTCAATGAAAGGATATTTTCCCTGATATCATTATCGACATCTTGATTCAAAGTGTATATAAATCCTTAGCGAGCATCAGATGTCTGAGCTACTTTAAGCTTGTCTGCACACCTTCGCAGAAGATTTAACATGTTTTTCAGTTCTAAGTTAGAAAAGGTAACATTTTTATTAGTCTAGCTCAACAGCCTGTTCACAGACCAATTCCTGGATACTGGAACACACACATCTAGCCTGTGCCATCTTTTCCAGCAGGAAGGGAAAAAATCCCTACAACATTTGAGCTGTAGGTGCTACTCAAAGCCAATGTGTATTTGACTAAGAAATGTGTTTGCCATTATCAGTGCCGGAGACTGAGGTGAAATGGCAGCATAGCTTCTACACGGAAAACAGATTGCTCCTCCCAGAAGCAGTTACCTCCCCTCAACTTCTTCAATCCTTCCCTCCATACCAAGGCTGAAAAAGTCAGCTCTATTGATCAGGTTGCCTTCTCCTTCTCAATGCTGTGCTGCTTTCTGACCTTACTTTTCTTCTTTCAACTACAGTACTAATCCCGCCTTAGTCTACCTCTACACTCTCCAGTGGGACAGTGACAGGCACAGGTAAGGCTGTTTCTCTGGGACAGAAAGAGAGGGCTGTCGCTTTTGTTGGATGGGAAGGAAAGGTAGAAGCCATTAACCCAGCAAGCTGGGTAGTAACACAACAGGGAGCAATTCATTAAAGGGAGAACTTTGTTTCCATACCAGGAAAGAAAAGTAGCTGCTTTTACATACTCTAAGTTGAAAAAGGCAGGGAATAAATAGCATCAGCGTTCAGAGGGCAGGACAGGTTGCTTGTGCCACTTAGTCCTGTTATGAACAAGGAAGAGATAGAATGGCCTGATGGCCTAGTTACCTTCCTTGCTTAGTCATTAGCTATTCCTTGTTAACAGCAAAGAACAGTAACAGACAAGCTGGAACAAATTCTCCAAGTGCCAGAGAAGTAGTACTTTAAAACTTAAGAGACTCGACCTCCCCTGCAGACTGTTTCCTTCATTATCCTAGCAGATCACAAGTTCTATCCAGGCTTCTTCATAGGTTCTTTGTGGTTAAATGCCAGGAGAATAGGAGCCAAAGTTTCTGATTTTGACCTGTAAACTGAGGCAGGCTGCAGCATGATAATCATTTTGCTGCTCTACTCGCGCATGGCATGAGCAAACTTTACTGTTTAAGTCTGATTTTGCATCTAGCAGTTGCAATGTTCCCTCATATGACATAACAGTAGATTTTCATTTCAATTCCATCATAGGAATGAGAAGTTGTTATGTTGGTGGGGCTCGTTACACAAATTAAACTGAGCATTCCAGATTCATCAATTGCTTTCTTTACAGCATGTCAGTATTTACTCATTTAGATGACAAAAAAAAGCCAAAAAGAAAAAACATTCCAGCTCAGTGCATAGAGCTCAATCAAAATGGTTCACTTCCTCAGTTCTGTTTCACTCGTAAACCCTGTTTTATATTTCTTGGAATTCTGATTAACTTACCAAGCTGTGAATTGTTGGTTGGCGTCTCATCTGTATAAAACAAAAAAAAAGGAACACATTATATTGTACAAATATCTCTGCCTACATCATCCCCTCCTTGCAACACAAAAGCCAATAGTCCTAGCTTTATTTTCAAAACACATAGCTGTGCTTGTAACATTGACTAGAAGCCTTTAGCATCTCTTGTAGAATAAGAACAACATTAAAAATGAAGAAATGTCACATAATTAATGTGAGCACACCACTATAAAGTTACTTAGTATTCAGGAAGAGGAACAAACCAAAACCACCAAAAAACACCTTAATAAAAGAACATCTTAACTTAAAAGGTGGACAGTTCCTATTCTGTTCCTCAACAATAATACAGCCATAAGCACAATATTATACAGAAATCCCTTCACTGTTAATCATATTACCACAGTAGGTCTGTATAGGGAAAAAATTAACCTGAGTTTTTCAAGGAAAAAATACATCAATGACTATAAATAATTACAAAAATGCCCTTTTCCCATGTTCATTTTTCTCTTGACAGTTACACAGTGGCATTATATTCAGGGAAACATTTGTATTTTGTCTTCAGTTTTTACTTACCTACCACTGTCCATCTCAGAACTATATTTCTTGTCAATATTTTTGCTTTTTTTGTGCAACTTGTAAGCACAGCTCACATAGACATGTGTTTTGAGGAGCTGTCCTCGAGGCTTAAGTGAGACATCCATCAAACTACACAATTTCACCTTCACAAGCAGGTACCTGCTTTGTTTCTATGCACAGAGACTAAAATATTTTCTTCTGTATACATCTCTTCAAATGACTTATTTTAGATTAACAAACAAGAATAAAGTTTCTCTGAAAAGAAGAAAATGTTTAAAAATAAGACTACAGAAATACACAGGAGAAGGGCCATTATTCATTTGCAGTAGCACTATGCATTCCTATCAAGGTAACTGCATAAAGAGCTGTTACCAGAACAACTGGTGACTAGAGTAATGGGGAGACCCAGCTAACGTGAGGCAGCTCTGTCGACACCGATGGGCACAGGACCAGCCCTGGGACAGATGCGGCACCAACTTGAATGAGAGGAGTGAGAGGTTGCACATCCATGCAACCGTAGACCCAATACCAGCACATGTATTGTGGTGAGTCGGGTGCAGCAGGTCTGAAGGGCTCTGTGCAAACATATCTCTGCTCAAGTTGGACAAGACTTGGCCTTGAAAACAGAATAAGTACCTCCGTGCAGCATCACACCAGGAGTAATCCAGGACTGCGCCCCAGCACTCCCCATCCAAAACCAGATAGCGTGGTTCCAGTTCTATCGTGACCTTCGTCCTTTTCTTTTCTGACCATAGTACTCATGAATCTCTAATTTTTTGGTGCACTTATTTTCACAATGGGAAAGGACAGTGGGAGGAAATGTTAATTCTCTCTCTCTTCTCCAGAAGGAAAAGTGAAGTGCAGGTCAGATTAAGGGACTTTCTCAATGCCCCTCAGGAAATTCTCATCAGAGTTCAGAACTGAATCTCTTTTTCTTAATTTTTTTATTTCCCCCCCTTCAAGCAAACCATCCCTTTCTCGGCAGGAGTGAGATACTCCAAAACCATAGTATGGAGATGCAGAAATGTGTCTGATCTAAAAAAATTTAGCCACGTGTCTCAAGTAGAGACACCTGAAAATAATTTTCCTTTTCCAGCTTTATTCATGTTTTCATTCAAAAAATAAAAAAAAAAACCTCTACAGTTGTCAAGGAATTATAAAATCATTTATCCTTTCTTTGGGATCATTAGACACCCGTGGACAGATCTTTCTTTGCTTGAAGTCATGCACTATTTAAAGGTAATTGATGAGAGGTTGATTGTTTTTTAAATTGTAAAAGCAGGATTCACAGCATTTGAATCATAAACTGTATTAGCAAATAGGGGATGCTCAGATAACGAGATTTATGTAGTTTCTATTCCTTGCCTTAGGCAGCATTTCTCTAGCATACATGTCTAAGCAAATTTGTCATTTATTTCTCATAAGTACTCATGTATGCAACTTTGCAGTTAGTTTTTTTCCACTTTTTCTTGACTAATCAGATGGTGGCAGCTCAATTGGGATTATGCATAAGACAAAAAAAATACTCATTTTCATTGCATAAATGTTACTTATAACAGAGTATTTTTTCTAAAAATGATGTCTTGCTAGATGGTTCATTATTCTGGAGGGTTAGTTTTTCTTTTTTTGCGTGTGTGTGCACAAACACTTTGCACATAAAGAAGGATTTTATTCTCAATTATATTTCCTATCTAGGATTCTATCTTGCTCTCAGCTTTCTAAATCTAAGACTGATGAAATCTGTTGCTTAACTACAACTACCTATAAATATCTTTAATAGAATTTCTTAAACTTTTTCAAATTTTTTATTTTTATTACTTTGTCAACAGCATTCACATCAACTTTTTTCAGAGACTGCAAGTTGCATTTAGAGTTGTTTGTTGTTTGTTTAGGTTTTTTTAAACTTTGGCAATAAAAATGGAAATAATAGAATTTCAGCCTGGATTTAAAAGAGTAGATTTTAGCCCACTCTGTTTAGAATTTACAATGTGTTTGTCCTATTTCTTTCTTACAGCTGAAGGCTAAGCATAGTATGGATTAATTTTACTCAACACTTAGACAAAAATCCACAGGTAAAGCCAGAAGAAATGGTGCATAGAAAGTGATGGTGAATATTCATTAGCTGTCCAAATTAAATTGCAACACTGAACTCAGTACCTTAAATTCCATTAGCTTTAGTGAAATCTGACACACACACACGCAAAAGAAAGAAAAAAAAAAAGGTCAACCCACTGAGTTTGGGTTTTTACAGTTGCAAGAATAAGTATGTGAACCTTTTGGAATGTCATGGTGTTCTGCATTAATTTGTCATAAAATGTGATCTAAGTTGAGAGTATCAACAAATATAATGCTTCTAAAATAATAAATATGCTTCTAAAATAATAACACAAAAACAATTCTGATCCTCCATGCCTTTACTGAACACACTCATTCAACATTCAAAATGCCAGTGGAAAAAGTAAGTGAACCCTTGGAATCAGTAACTGGTTGACCCCTCCCTTGGCAGCAATAACCTCAGCCAGGCGCTTCCTGTAGCTGTGGGTCAGAGCTGCACATCCTTCAGGAGGGATTTTAGCTCATTCTTCCTAGCAGAACTGCTTTAGCTCTCTCATATTCTTTGGACGTCTCCTGTGTCTGGCTCTCTTCAAGTCATTCCAGAGCATCTCTGTTGGGTTGAGGTCTGGGCTCTGACTTGGCCACTGCAAAAGGCAGATTTTGTTTTTCTGTTGTGGACTTGCTCCAGTGTTTTGGGTCATTGTCCTGTTGCATCACCCAACATCTACAGAGTTTCAACTCATGTACAGATATTCTCACATTTTCCTGAAGAACTTTTTGATGCACTTGCATCTTCCCCTCAATGACTGCAAGCTGGCCAGGCCCTGATGCAGCAAAGCAGGCCCGAATCATGATGTTTCGTCCACCATATTTTATGGTTGGGATGATGTTTCCATGATGATAGGCAGTGCCCTTTTTACGCCAGATGCAGTGCTGCATGTTCTTTCCAAATAGTTCAAACTTTGTTTCCTCACTCCACAATATTTTGCCAATACCACTGTGAAGTGTCAATGTGCTCTTTCGCAAACTTCAGGTGTGCAGCAATGTTCTTTGCAGTGAGAAGCAGCTTCCTTTGTGGTGTCCTGCCATAGATAGCCTGCTTTGTCAATGTTTTACGTGCTGTGGACTCATGAACAGAGATGTCAGCCAGTTCCAATGATGCCTTCAGCTCTTTGGCTGTCACTCAGGGTTGTTTCTTTACCTCAATGGTGAGTCTTCATTGTGCTCTTGGGGTCATTTTGACTGGGCACTCACTTCTTGGTAGAGCAGCCGCAGTCCCAGAGCGTCTCCATTTGTAGGTTGTTTGCCTAACTGTAGACTGATGAATTTCTAAGGTCTTTGAAATCACTTTGTAAGCCTTTCCAGCTTTAGGTAAATCAACAGTTCTTGATCATAGAACCTTTGAAAGCTCTTTTTTTGGCAAGGCATACATCTTGTATGGAGCAAACTCAAAACATTTGGGTGGTTTTTATCAGTCAATGTAGCTCTAGCCCATACCTCCAAACTCATTTTCTTAACAAGACTCCAAGTATGCTAATACTTGACTCTGATCAGCTTTTCTGAGGTCAGCTCAAGGGTTCACTTTTTCCACTAGCATTTTGAATGTTGGATGAAGTCAATAAAGACATAGAGGACAGAATTGTTTTTATTACTTCAGTCACATTATATTTGTCAATACTCTTGACCTAGGTGACAATTAGATCACATTTTATTACAAATTAATGCAGAACACCATGAAATTCCAAAAGGTTCACATACTTTTTCTTGCAACTCTGTAATGCTTTTATATGCATGAGTATCCTACAGTGATTTTACTGGGTGTAGGGAGGAAGCATGTGAGAGCTGAACAGAAATATTAGCCCAAAATTTCTACCAAGGACTCCAGCAACAGCAGCGGGGAGCAGGGGAATGAACCAAAACAAAAAACAAAACTGCAAACTCGTGGAGAATTCACCCTTTCTGTAAGTCACTGCAAATTTATATTAAACTGCAAAACATTTCCCCAGGTTTCCGAAACTCCTGCTGTCTATAGAATAAAAAGTTTTTTCATTCCTACCACTTCTCGTAATGATTGGGCCAGCAGAGATCACAGCATTGCCAGAGGTGCTCTGAGGGCTCCAAGTTGTCCTCCCACCAACATCTCTTCTTTCTCTGTTACTGCAAATCTGAGCAGTTAATCAAAACAATCAGTTTCAGAGTGGAATGTAATTATTGCCCTTCTGTGCTTCCCGCTTTAATGTAAAATCTTTTTTAAGCTATACTACAACTTTGATTTTATTTCTTATTAAGCATTAAATTACATTGCAATAAAAACAGCTGCAATATTCCCTAGAACTGTATCTTAAAAATACGTGGCTTTACACTGTAGTTTGCCTCACTTCATTTGCAGAACTACATTGCTCTTGTGTACAAGATCCATCTTACAGTATACTAAATTCTCAGTAGTTAATTTCCCAAAACTTTGTTTACAGGCAGTTTTCCCCAACAAATGTGTTTTGCTTGACTAGGGATAGACAACAAGCTACAATTCCTATTCAAACAAGTTTCTCAAAGTTCACACTTTTTCCAAGGAGTTCTAAATAACAATGACCCATATTAAAGCAAATGTCCAGCATTATCATCTAGAATCCACCTTTAACATCTCTAAGTTATCATCTACCTTTATTTTGGGTACTCAAATATGCTTCAACTAAGAGCACTTCTTTAATGTCAACTTCTTGTGAAAGTTCAAAAACCTCAGAACACAAGCTCAATAGAAACACTGAAATATTCAAGAGTGTAACATTAAAGTATAAAATAATGTACAAAATGTCAGAAGTATACCAAACTGATATTTTATAATTCTAAATAGAAAGTCTTTCCGTAGGAAACAATACTGCATTCTGAAGACATCACAGTATATTCTGCATTTATATATTTATTTGAATTTTTCAGTTTCCAAAACATATTTGCTGTTCCTGCCACTCCTAAATTTAAATAATTTTTGAATTGGCACAACTTCATGAACTTCAATAAAAGAGCAGCTTTGAAACTATAGGGGAGGTGGTAATAAACTATAGATGATGTAGTGGGTGGAGGTTTTTTCCCACTATCAGAAACTTTCAAATATTCCTTGTCAGTATAATGACGCTTAGTACATCTTAGGTTTTCCATAATTTCTATTCTGATATTTCTCTTCACCTGCTATGATTGTGGAAGACTTGTTTCTTACATGTCATACTAAGAATATCAGCTCTGAAGCTGTCTCAGATTAATTAAGAACCAAAAGGTGAAGAGGTCATTTCTCATGCATTCAACAACCTGTGTTTTGCAGGTCTAGTATTAGTCTATCTCCAGATGATAATACTCATTGTCTTATTCTTCATATCAGTTGTTTTAGATTCTTTCAGATATGAAAAACATCCTTACGTGAGAATCCACACTTTGTGCCATCCCAACTTCCATTGCATTTGTATGCAGAATAACTCCAGTGTGCCTAATTTATATCCACATAATTCACAGCAAGTTCCATCCACTGAAACTTACGGGCACAAGAAAGGGACAGTCGTCTGCTCTGCACAGCTTTGTCACGCAGTGAAGGAAGACCGTAGACATCTTCTGGTTCTTGTGCTTCACAAAGCGAAACACCTCAAAGGAAAACCGGCCCATTTGGCTCTTGCCATTTTCAATTATAGTCGTCTGTGGGTCCTTGTCACAGCTAGTTATTGTGGAGAACGTGAAAACTAGAATGAGCAACTGTACGATTAGTGTTTTGACGCTCTTAGCTGAGAATAAGATAACTTAAGCAGCAAGTTGAGTGCTTTAGCTCCTCAGAAAAGAACACAGTGCCCTGAATGTGCAACATGGGCAGCCACAATCGGCGTGTTGGGCTGTACAGTTCTGTGTGGAAATGAATTCCTACAAAGGCATTACATTTTGTTTTGCAACATCACAGCTATAACCAGGGCACCGTTTAATTCTCATGTCCAAAGAAACTTGAAATCTGAAGCAAAAAGTAATCCAGTATGCTAACTGGTATAGACAGGTGACTCCAAACAAAGACAGTATTTCTCCAGCAACTATCACCAGTAAGATTTAATCTGAGCTACTGCCAAGATATTTTTCATGTTCCAATTCAAGTAACTGTTACTACTGGCAATAGAAGTAGGAGCATCAATTTATCCCTAATAATTTGCTTATTTGCTTTCCTAAACTGGAGTCTATGGTGTTTTATATGACTGTCATTCACCACAATGCTACCTTTGCTAAAATAAAGGCCAGTTTAGTCATTTGATTTGGGTGTTTACAGTATTTTTAGTAGAGCCTTTTTGGATATATGCTTCTTTACCTTCATAAGTCTTATGACTTTGCACTTGCTGCTATGTTTATGTTCACAAACAAGATAAATCTTGGCATACTATCTGTAAGCCTAGCCTTCAGTCTTCCCTGCTAATATTGTTTAGACATTCCAGACAGTTTAGAACACCACTATTACAGAGATTTTTAACTTTTTTTTTAGAGGAAGAACCCACAAAACACTGGGTTTGCATAGGACCTACCTGAAAAAGAGATCATATCGAAGATCATCGCTGGGATTACCAGATGGTGTGGTGTAGCAGTAGTCCATCAAAACATTCCACCTGAACAGGGAGCAAAGCAATAGATGAGGGGAACTGGCAATGTAAGAGCAGGGGTAGAGAGTGAGCGAGATAAGATTAAAAGACAGTACAGCCAAGCGTACAAACTGATAAAGCCGGCTGTTAAACTGAAGCTGATTTACTGCATTTAACAGGTCACATACGAGTCATCCTGCATTCCCGATATATTAGCTGTTTCTTCCCATTGCTTACAAAACTGAACTGCACAGCATAGGAGCAGAATTGTATAAATCAAATAATCTGTTTTCATGCAAGTCAACACCCATAGTAACGCACACTGTATACCTTCTTTCAGAAGTTATGGCCATGTAAGGCTAGAAATCAAAATCATTCCACTTCTAAAAGCCCTAGAGTTTCTAACTTAATCTTACACCTTTCTTAAATAACAGCAATATAGCATTTAAAGTATAATTCAGGAAAACTTTTGCAATGAGGACAGCAGTAAAACATGCATTCACCATGAAGGACCTTATACCCTCCAGCTGAGGGCAGTGATTATAAAACACCAAACATTATTTTGACATACAAAAGTCTATGAGGAAAGATAGTTGCTAGTAAATCTGAAAAATTTGCAACACCCAGAGCTGAATAGTGAGTAAGACAAGAAATAACATCCTTTATGGTACCTGCCATCAAGGTTGGTTGCTCTTACAGCTGCATATATTTTGGTTTTCAAAGGTAAACCTGTACTTGGAATAAGAAGCTGCTGGCTGTAGGTCGAATCCTGAAAAACAAACATTGCCTCAATGTAACAACCCATCTGCATCCATGAACTGAATGTTCATATAATTTTTCTGACCCTTATATGTAGGACAGTAATTTACTTTGTCCTTTCTAAGGGAAGAAGCCAAAAGCAGTGCCAGAGAATTTATCTACAAGTTTGTCTGTAAAGATCAACAACACTTGATTGGCCTTATCCTGTGCAACTATTTTGGGGAATATATTGATGATTTTATGAAGTGGTTAGACCAGTGATTAAAGAAAAAGTATCATTCACTGACACCTCTGTAAATCTCCCCACTGCCTACAGGCAAACATAGCAGGTACTATGGCTTCTGAAAGAGGAGCTTAATTGAGTTGTCACAGTGTACTCTACTAGGAATGGTTTTTAAGGTTATTTGATTGGGTGAAGATCACAATACACCAGGTTTTAGACATATATTAAGCTGTAGTCAGGGAGAACAGACACATTATGTTATGCGAAGTGTAGCTTCTACGAAAGTTGGCATGTTGAACACTCCAGGCAACAAATATTTTCATTTAAATTCTAATAGTTAAAAAAGTTGTTTCAAGAAAGCTGAATGTAACATAACAGTTGGAAATTCTCCATATACTACTACATAGCTATAGCTGTTTTATTGTTTTCTTGTTCAAAGGCTGAATCATTAATGTCACTTTAGCAACAAAGCCATGAAACAGATCTGAGTGACAGATGTTAATTCAGCACTTACTGGTAACATCACCTGTGTCAAACAGGTTGTTGATGCAGAAAGCATGAAAACTCAGCATGTTGAGGCCTTTTGTGATAGGTCAAAATACTCAATACATGAGAAAAACTTTACTAAACAGAATTTTGACCAGGCTTAGTGTGGCAGGCAAGACCAAGAGCAGCAGCTGACTGCAACAAAAAGGGTTAAGCACAAAAATCAAGTGTTTCAAGTGTTTCTTTCAAGTGGAACAATGCCAAAATTCACAGCATGCCCAACTGAAATCTCTGCAGCATCAGAGGCCTTGGGAGGCACATGTGCACATGCAGACCAGCTCTGCGACATCCACAGAGCAACGTCTGTGCAGATCCATTCAAGTGAGATCAAGTAAGCTTTTTAATTAATTTTACCTCTCTCTAACACATAGCTCTGTCACATTTTGTAACTAATTAAGAAGTCCACAGCAAGTGCCTCACTATTACATTCCATAGTAGTTTTTTTTCTTAAAAAGTAGTTTTCATTTAGACAGACATTTACAGGAAGGCCTAAAAGCACATGGCTGCTTACACTCTGTGAAATCTTATTGAGCTCTTGTAATGGCTCCTCTCATCTTTCCAATGATAACATGTGCTAATACCACAAAGTAAATGTAAGTATCACCTTGGGAGGGAAGACAGAAGTGAACTGAGAAGAGGAAGAGTCAATGTGAGGAAATAACACTACAGGTAAAGTTTGAAAGTACGGCTGCTCACAGTCAAGAGCCATGTTTGTACAGAACGCCTCAGCAATACCAAGGGTGAACAGAAGAACCAAGGCCCCTTCCAAAACCAGGACACTCTGATAGGGACCAAGTGAGATGTAGAATGAGAGCTCACAAGACCACGGATGTCTCAAGAAGCACTCCTGGCCAGACAGACTGCAGGCAAGGCACAAGCTGTTGGTGTATGCACCCAGCCCTAGGATGCAAACTGGAAAGGCACATCCACCACTTGCCATCTGCCAGCCTTAGCAGTATTACTCATGCTAGTAATACTGCTCGCTAGAGTCAGAAATACAACTGAAATCAGAAGGATAAGATGCTGCTGTTCATGGTCAACTTGTAAACTCACTGAGGCTGGGAGGATAAAACCCATCTGGCATGTGGTACTTGAGGAAAAAATGCACTCAGTATGAGCATCAATAGCATTTATACCTGACTGTTTGTGGACCTGAGCCCTGAAAGGTAACAAACTTGTAGTTGTCAGTGCATGTTCTGACTGAGAAATTTGGCTACCCTCACTCTGCCCCATCTTTTTGGTCCCAGAGAAGCATAATCTTCCCTTTAACAGATTATAGGTTGTTATTTGGAGCTCTGCTCTGTCAAACAAACACGATTTATTTTTTTTTAAGCATGTCGTTGGAAAATATCCTGTTACAATATTTATAGCTCATTATGTTCAAAGCATAAAGCATTGACTTTTAAATCAGTTGCATGAATTATAACTCAGCATCATGGCATGAATAATAATGCAAAAAATCTGGATTCATAATTTACAAAAATGATGCTTGGTAGATTGAAAAATTGATATTTAAATCATGTATTTAAAATGTATGAATAAAAATTTTAATCAACATGAAAATACCATTTCAGGAATTAATGTTAAGTAGAGATCCGTGCATTTTTCTTCTTTTACTGTCATCATCCATATTTACGTAATAAAATCTTTTACAATAATGCATATTCAAGTTAAATTATCTAAAACATATGGAAGAAGTGCTAGCTGAAAGTTAAGTTTATTAACTCCTAAAATCTTGAAAGTCTACACAATGAGACAAAAAGTGTAGTGGGCTATAGATTTGGAAAAATCCCACACCCCTCACTACAGTTACAGGTGATCCAGACACTCTGATGGGCCTTGAACATAAAAACACCCCAGCGGAAGTACCTCAAGCCTATTGCTAGGGGAACAGGTCTGGAGTATTTTTACAGAATTCTACAGGGTAGTCTCTGTATCAGTACACTGTACTTAAACACATAAACACACATATATAGTAATATATACACACTAATATGAACGTAAACACAATAAACACAAACACAAGTAAGCACTCTGTTATTACTACAACTGATTAGTCATGTGGCACTACAACCTGAAAGCCAAAGCTGTAAATTGAGGAACTATATAAATACAGGAAAAAAGACTGTGTGTCCCTTCAAAGACCAGGCATATAAATACAAGACAGCAGGTACATTCAAACAAAAAGGACAAGGGAATTCAGGAGATGAAAAATGTGCCCAGATGAAGGGCTTGATTCATGGGAGGAGTGGGGAGGAAAGAAAAAATAACGAAGAGGAGTCTATACTTTGGTCTGCTAATCCAGCTTGTACCCACATAGTGCAGAGATTAGTTTAGTACAGGTCATACTACTGTGCTTTATACTTACATTGTAAAGCAACAAATTCAAAGTGCTGATAAAGGTACCATTGTTCTCTCTCACAGAAATAGCAGCTGATGACCTACAACAGAACCAGAAACCAAAAATCATCATGAAGAAAGATATTTCATTTTTGTGTTTACATACTTCAGTGTTTTTATCATTAAAAAACCCAACAACCTTCAATGAGTCATATCACAAGGAGTTCATTTATCCATTTGGGTTATGAACTTCAAAACTAGGAATTTATAGTGAAAACACTGACAGAACCTTAACTATGCCGAAAGTAATAGATACTGTTGAAAACATGAATCAGAAAAATAATTAGCACAGAGACAAAGTGACAAAAAGGAACCCACTTTTCATGATGTACAAGATTTACTCATGGAAATATTTTTTCTTGCACTCTATATTCACATGCTTACAAACTGTTTCATGAGAAAATTCCATTTTTTTGCTGCTAACATTTCATCATCAGAACACTTGAATTTTAGAGGAAGCTTTACATTATCTAAGGCTCTCTTTCATAAAAGCAGTTCTTCACAAACTACGTTATCTCATACAACGACGCTACAAAATTTTCTTTTTCTTTGCATCATCTCTTCTTTCAGTGGTTTTTTCCTTTCCCTTTACTCTTGCACAGCTAAAAATTAGTATGTTGACAATACTACTATGGCATGCATACATTTAGGTGTAAATGCATACGTACAAATACATATAGTCTTACAAAAACGTGGGAACAAAACACATAGAAAAGCACACTTACGAAGCAAGCTGAGTGTTGTTAACCAAGTACTCCAGAGGATAGCTACAACTAAATTTGTACAGAAGCCCAGGCAGATAGCTGATAATCGTTGGTGGGTCTGGTGTATCAATATAGCCTGAAACATTACCTATCTGTACCACTGAGGTATTTCCATAAGCATTGATACCTCGAGCTGAGGACACCTATTGAGGGAGACAGAAAATTACTACTATAAGAAAGTTAACTGTTAAGCCAAAAAAATACCTAAAGGTACTGATGCTTCAGCCTGTAATTTACTCAGAGATATCTTCAGAAAATCCCTCCAAAATTGATTTAGTTTAATAATATGTTCCCTGTGTTCCACTTTTCATCTCCCCAAAAACAGGCATATACAGTTCACAAGCAATATCCCTGTGCTTGAAACACAGACTTGAGCAACATTAGAAAAAAGAACGATGAACCCTGGAAGCAACTTTTTTTTTTTTGTAAGTACTTTTTCTCCGAGCATTTATTATGCTGTAATAAAGCCAATAGACAAGTAACTTCATTTGCAGAAACAATTCTCACTCTTGAGTTTTGTATCAAACCCAATGTACTTTATAAGCAGATGCAAGCCAAATTAGCTGAACTTTTGAGTCTGTGGGTTTTTTTATATTATCCGTCTCTAAATCTCAATTACTTTTTCTCTGAGCATTCCCAATGAATTCAACATGACTGACTGGGAAAAGCTGAAGGAACTTTTCTATTTCATTTAGAAAAATCTGAGCTTGAAATGAGCTTCCATATGCTGTAATAAAGCCAATAGACAAGTAATTTCATTTGCAGAAACAATACTCTCTCACTCTTGAGTTTTGTATCAAACCCAATGTACTTTATAAGCAGATGCAAGCCAAATTAGCTGAACTTTTGAGTCTGTGGGTTTTTTTATATTATCCGTCTCTAAATCTCAATTATAAACTGTGTGCAAAGAAACACAGTTAGAAATGCAAGACCTGAAAATTAAGCTTGCCAATGCAACCGTCATTCAGTTCCTGGACATGTGCTATCCTGCGTTGCTCAGGCTCAAAGAGTGTGCAGAGCCAGCAATAACATGCAGCTCTCCAGAAAACTGAAGGACTCTTTACTTCTGGTAGTACCCCAGCTCCACTGCATCTGTAGCTACTGATCTGTATAAACTACTGATCTGAAAACAGCAGATCCATGCCATAGATTACCTTCTTGATAGGTACATACCCAATGAGGCAAATTAACATTGTAGCATTTCTTTTGTATAAACTGTATTAGCAAAAAAAGGCGCTTTCAATAGCTTTAGAATACATTATTTCTTAAAAAGACATTTCATTATGGAAGAACCATTTTGTGCATGTAAGTCATAATATTTTGCACTAAGTAGCACAAGACAAACAGCAGGTATTTTGATTTCTTTGGCTACAGAAAAAATGGGTAGATGACAGATGTAGCCATGCAGTTTGCCAACAGTATACATAATCATTTGCTAAATGTCAGTAAAATGAGCAAAATCAAATTTCTTAGGATCTGTCTTTTGCCTAAAAACACAGGCCAGAGCATTAAGATAGTATAGCAAATTACAGTTCTGTTTAGTTTCCTCACCATGCCACCCCTAAAAATTAAAAAGTTTTCTTTGCCATATTACAGACAGACCTAGGTTTCACCTGACTACTCCCTCAACAGTTGCCTTTACTGGTACTGAAAATCAGTTTGAAGGTCTTTGCTGTAAAACACAGTCAAGAAGCGCATAGGATTGTACTACTCCAGCGCAAGGAACATGATAAGAAAAGCTCCCTGCTTCTTTATTCTCTTTGTGGCACAGCATGCATAAATAGAGGACGAGGGTAATTTTGGGTTATATATTTAGCAGTTGCTTTGTCTTTGTATCCTGTGCAACCTTGTGGGGAGCTTCACGAGAAGCTCCAATTATTTGGACTTACCAGGCTGGCTGTTTGCCTTTTATTTAAAGAAAAAAAGAAAAAAAAAGAAAGAAAAAAAGAAAAAAAAAAAAAACAAAAAGAATACCCACCCACAACATCATAGAGTTACGATTATAATCAGAGCAAGTTCAGGGAGTTTACAATGTGATCGACTCCATAGAAACAGGAAGGAATTACTTCCTGGCAAATTCTTCTACCACAAGTCATGGAGGTGCTACAGCTTTCCAGTGAAAATGGGAAAAGGAAATCTTGAACTTGCTGAACTGTTTTTTGTTGAAATTTTAGAAGAAATCTCAGCCTGAGACAAATAGGTCACAGAGTATGTTGAACGTTTCAGACCAGTTTCACAAAATTATTAGCAACAAAACAGGGAGCTTGTTATAAAAACTGACAGATATTATCAAGTGAAAGTATGAATTTCAGATAGAATATAAACCTTAAAAAATTACCCATCTTTTCACTTATTTTTGTAATTTAGATACTTTGATACAAGGCATCACTACTTGTACCGTGTGATATACACACAAACTGTATAACTCTCCTCTCCCTTGGATTAGGAGGTTTAAGACCTGAATTCCCCTTCTTTCCACCTTTCAGATAAGAGGGATTCACTGACAAAAATAAAATTATACTGGTACAAAACAGAATTAAAAGTCTGATCTTGGATCAAGTTCTGGTTCCAAAAACTTACCCATAGGTAAGGATTCAATTTAGTCATTAACTATACAAAGATGTGCATTATTCATGCATGAAATAGCCACAAAAAATGTAGATGCTGAAGTCACATCACCAGGCAAAACAGCAAGACACTGTAACACAGAGCGGCCAGGCACTAAAAGATCAGAACTGAACATACAAATTTGAACTTTAGTCCCACATCTTGACTTTTTTTTGTCACGAATTGAGTGTATAGGTTAGGCAGTCATATTTTTTTTTTTTTTTGTATATCTAACATTCAACATTTGTTTGAAAGCTTCAGTTCTGTTTTGAGATGAGATTTCCCAAGAAGATAAAATGTCTCATGACACAGTTAGCAGAGATACTCAGTGTGGCTTGGGCCTCTGGCCAGACAATCTCCTCTGGGAGATTCAGCCTGAAGTCACTGCCTTATCATAGATCATACAAGATCAGTCAGCAAGCCCCTCATATGAGACCACTGAAGTAGGCACCTAGACTACAACTTTCCTCTAACCTACTCTTAAAAATATTTTAGCTCCATTTTCCAAGTGGGCATTTGAAAAGTTTCAGCAAAATTTAAGGCATGTTCAGC